CGTATATTAATATGATTTGTATAAAATAATGTAAACTGTGCTTGCCATTTTTCAAAATTTAGATCAAAATATGAATTTCGTTCGTTTCTATTACTAATATTCATTGGGATTTCTAATTCATGTTGTTCTGACGTTAAAAAGGTGAATAATGACATGGAATATGTAAACCACGCATTTTCAAATAAACGACGTTGTAACAAGATTTGACCTTTTGTTATTGATGCGTCTTTAGGATATCGACGACATAATATTTCATAGATTGTTGCATTATAAGTTGAACAGAAGTTCTCGAACCCAGTGTGCATATATGCCAAATCTGATGCCGATTTGAAGTATGACTTTAATTTTGTGAAACACTTTTAGAAAATCTTTTAGAAAGTAAACACCAGTCAAATTTAAAAATTTGTAATAGAAATCACCTTTTTCATGTTGAAATGACTATTTCAAAATGAGACGTTTCGTCTTTATTCTAAAGATATCATCAGTCAACTGATGTACAAAAAGTAACTTCTAATATAAAAAAAGACAATAAAACATGTGTAGAACCGCAAAATATTTTCTTCTTTCTCTCGCCTTCTAGATCATGTGTAGTATGATTCTCTTAAAAACCATTCAACATAAAAGTCTTTTGAGAATATATAGTTCCTCCTCTGTTTTTTGCATGAATGTCCATGAGCAGACTCCTTTTATCTTTCTCTTTAGTTTCCGAATTCCAGTTAGTTCGAAGTCCGCTCGCTAACCCGTGAATGGCAATCCTTGAGAAACCTTGTCCATACAATACTTGTTGCTGATGTTCTTCTTTTCTTCTATCCTCTCGCCGTCTGCTTAATATAACTATTAGAACAGTCATACTTATACACTACTCTATTCTCATTGATCATGTTCTTATAGTTCGTCCAAACACTGAACGACTCAGACTCGAAAAAAGCAAAGACCGGCCTGTTTAATATACTTCTGTCTAACAGACTTTTTATAAACTTTTTCTCTAAAACTGATCTCAGTTCAGTTCTGATCGTTTGCATTCTATTTGCAATTTTGTTTTTTAATTTGTTATGAATGCGGAGTTTCTTTTCGAGACTTTTTTCATGCATGGGCTTTTAAAAGAATTAAAAGCTCATACATTATTAAAAAAGAATGCCCGTGGCTCGCTACCGTTAACATTACAGTATATTCTGACTTATTACACTTATTTTCCTTCTACCAAAATAAGCTAGATGAAAGATGGTGTCGAATAAATAGTAAGAGCTAGTTCAGAAAAGTGAAATTTCTCAGCAACGGAGAGAAATTTCAAAAATTCTGCAGATGACTTTGTTCTATGTTTGTAGGTGGTTCGAACTGCGCAGAATCAAGGTTCTATCTCTTAAACTGAGGGCATTGATAGGTTTGCGAGCGGAGGGGGCGAAATTGATGCTGTCTAAAGTTTGACGAGGAGGCGAATACTTCTTATAGCTGTGGAATCTTCAAATGTACTTTGCAGTACGTAGCTTTTGTCGATCATTCTGAAAAATACGTTCCGATGGTTCCGGAGCCTTGTGGAGCTGAGATATTGCAATAGCTTCAAAAAGCTGTGATTTTTCGAAAAAACGACGACTTTCAATGTTTCGATTGTTTTCGCTCAACACGCACCGCACTGAAAATTTTTAAAGTAAGATATTCATGATCATCGGATAAATTCTGCGTCGAATGATGTATCTATGAGTCACAAATTGAAATGTCACTGTAACTTTGATTTGAAGTTCCTCTATCTTCTATCTTCAAGAAATTTTCGGTTCAAAAAAGAGCGGTCCTATGAATATTGGGGAGGTTATGAGTTTTTTAACGTTGGGTTTTGATCAAAATTTTCAGTTTAGCGCCTGATTTTCCATATTTCATAAGTCATTCAGGAATAATGACAAAAATTTGGTTCAAGTATGTTTAGATGCACAATTATTCATAGTTATTATGTATGTAAAAAGGAAGAAAACATTTCTATCTAACAGACTTTTTATAAACTTTTTCTCTAAAACTGATGCCAGTTCAGTTCTGATCGTTTGCATTCTTTTCGCAATTTTGTTTTTTAATTTGTTATGAACGCGGAGTTTTTTTCGAGACTTTTTCATGCATGGGCTTTTAAAAGAATTAAAAGCTCATACTTATTAAAAAAGAATGCCCGTGGCTCAATCCATTAATTATCGTTAAAATTTCAGTATATTTATAGACTTATTTTCCTTTTACTAAAAAATCGTTCACACAAAATCATAAAATTCTGAATATTTTGCAACCTTGTTTTATTGATCTGAAACAAACATTCTACATAGGATTAAATTAAACCGGCTAATAAACAGTTCATTTAAATGGGAACGTTGTCTTCACGGGCATTTTCTGTTAATTAAGCGTTTCAGTTCTTGTCTAAATGTTTTCGATGTTAGTGTATAAATGACAAACGTTAATGAACAATCGATATAGAACAAGTACATTGCTGTCACGTTGACCAAATTTTCTAGAGCTATTTGCTCGCGACTTTTTCTATAATGTTCTGTAATTGATAAATATACTTGAAAGGTGGGATACGGCGTGCATAATAGAATGTCGATTAGAACTTGAAACAATAACATCGATGTCAACTGATCGTCGCGTAGTTCTCTCTGTTGTTGCTGTTGCACCAGCATTCGTGGACGAGTTTGTCGTCGATGACGAGCATGTCGAATAACGAGCAAACTGAATGTCGATAGAAGTATAGTTGGTAGTAGAGCTGTTGTTACTAGATGAAAGATGGTGTTGAATAAATAGTAAGAGCCAGGTACATATGTACAGCTACCACTGATAATGGTGGCGTAGACTAGTACATGAGAAGAGAGAGAAAACCAAAGGAAAATATTCAAGGCTACAATGTACCGCGCATATTTCCGTTGACACATCATTCGATAACGTGCGATTGTCGAACTAATTAAATAACGATCGATACAAACCAGAACAAGAAATGAACGTGCTATTTGCCGAAAAACGAACCAGAAATACTGACGCAGTTTGCAAAATAGTAATGACCAAGTCGTTGGGTCATACTCCCACCCGCTAATCATAATGCGAGTTGATAAAAGAAAATTTATAATGAACAAATTTGTAATCGACATACACACGAAATACAATGAGGAAACTTTTGTTCGTAAAGATCGTTGAAGAAATATGCAACAATTCAATATATTACATACATTTCCAATAGCAAACATTGGAACCATTATATATTGTGTAGTTTGGTGACGTATGATAGTGTACACTGATGTTGATGTGTTCATTGTACTCTCTGAAGAAGAAGAATTGAACAATGTAGAAGAAAATCTTATCTGATGACCAGGTTTACACATGAATGAATATTTTATAATTATATTCATGAATAAGTTATCATCAGTATGGATGAAAGACTTGACTGAAGAAGATGATTATCTGTCATCATCATACGACATCAATACTCGTTCTCAATTTCATGCATTAGAAGTTTAAATGAGTATTTACCTCTGTCAAGAAAATAAATGTATTCAGTAACTTACAAATAATTTTTTTTCGAAACTAATTGGTCGTCTTAGTTTAATTTCCTATTCACAAGATCTTGTGTTTATGAGAGAAGGGAACTTATTTGAACAGAAGTACAGCATAATTTATGACTTTTTCATTGTGAAATTATTTTGGTACAATAAAGTAGCATAAGACACAATTTAGTCTTTGGTATGCGTAAGTCTTCAAAATTTGACACAATATCCGTTGAAAGAGCTGGGATAAGGGTGAAAAGTAGACAGGTGAAGTGAGAGTTGCATGAACGTTTCTCTCGGTTAGTGGATGGTTTATTAATTTTTAAACGAATGCTTTCATATTGTGTTAGACACGATATCATTTTAATCAGCATTTGGTATCATATAAGACTACTGATCTTGACGATTTGACAGTAGTTTACAAGTAAGCGGCTTACTACCGCAAAATCTTAATCCTATTTTTACCTACAGAAATGAAAATGAACAGTGGATTCCAGGTAATCCTCTATAGTGTATGAGGATCAAAGTACGACTTGCTTCTAACTATCTGAAGTAATTGAGTTTTCTGCGTATCTATATGAGACCTTCCACAGAAACATTTTCTCCAGAATGAAAACACTCATGCCTGGGTATGCAGCAGTACCAGTACGTAAACTGATTTACTGCCAGTTTTTACTGAATACCCAGCCGTTCGTATACCCAAACGATTTGGTAACAAAACAATATAATAAACTTCTATTTTTTTCAATGAAGGAAACATTTTCGAGGGTCAAGTACTTTTAATGTACGACACGAGACTCTCAGAAGTGCTTCATTCATTGAAAAAATAGGAGTTTATTATATTATTTGGTTATAAAACCGTTTGGATACCCAGTTAACTAAACCCCCCCCCCAAAATAGAAGGCCACCCTATATTAGAAGGGCACCCTAAATAGAAGGCCACCTCAGAGGCAATTCTGTAAAATCCATATTAAAAGGCCATGGCCTTTTATTTTGTCTCATGA